GGAGATAACAAAAAAAAAAAACGGTAACCTGGTTGGCCGAGTTCACGAAGTGAATTGGCTTGTTTTACAACGTCTTTGCCAAGCGACGAAAACCCAATCCCGATGGCAAACACCGGGGGGGGCGGCTTGTTTTACAACGTCGTTGCCAAGCGACGAAAACCCAACCCCGATGGCAAACACCGGGGGGGGGCCGTAAGGAGGAGGCGAGAAAAAGCGGGTGCGGGCGGACGTGTTAGGCGCCTCTTCTACGCAGGGCGACACCTCGTACTGCATGGCCTCGGGGGCATATGTATAGAGGATGCGCCTTATGTGCGCGGTCCTCTCTTTCTGTGTGTATCTCACCGGGTGTGCATCAAACAGAGTCTTACACCAAGTAACCAGGTGCGTCTAAAATAGGGGCCCTCCCACCAGCCACGTGTGCAGATGACGTCACCTTCGGATCTCTTTCTCCGACCTCGAAAAGCACGGGAGGCACAGACAACACCAACCAGCGTGCCAAACGGTATTGCATTACCAGCAAACTTACGAGTACGGCAATTACACGCCCCGATGACTTTTCATACCACGTGCATGGCTAGGGTACAAAATGAACGGGTCAACAAAAAAAACTGAAAACACACTAAACGGAGCATCCATTACACACGGAAAACAAAAACTACAACAGGAGACGAAGCTACCAGGAGCAACAGCTTAGACTACAAGGCCTAACCTGGCAGTACCGGACCATCTTGTACAGCGTGGCGAGGGGCTGGCTCCCCTGGTCCTGGCAGGAGAGCGTCGCCTGTCTCGAAACGTCGGAGGGCCGGTAGAACACCACGCAACGGCTAGGCTTGCCGTCCCTGCCCGCTCTCCCGCTCTCCTGGTAGTAGTTCTCAAGGCTCTTGCTCAGGGAGAAGTGGACCACGAATCGAACCTGTGGTGGATAGTGAGGGGACGGAGTATGGCGGGGGGGCGAGGGGGGAGGGGGAGATCGGGGGGAGGGAGGATGGCGGGGCAGGGGAGATGGAAAAAACTTTTTGGTACATGCATGTGCAGCTCGCCTTGTTGCTTACTAAATGACGACACTCCCCCGGGGGGGGGGTGTAACACCCGCCCTCGCAAAAGTGATTTGGCACCCTGCAAAGGGTGATTCGCGCACACGAAGGCGTGCCCACGTATTTTTCTCGAAAAGAAGAACTCCTACAACACGTCGAAGTATTCTTCCGTCAAAGACACGACTGACTGCTGCATGATGGCAACCTCCACCCTCTGCATACATTCGTAGGATACGCCTACTTTCGCACAATATAGCAAATGCAGAAGCGTCCAACCTCTGCACATGTTGCTAGAGATATCACAACACGCTTGCCTGGTGTGGCCTTGAACGGCTGCGGGCAGCAGCTAGGCACAGCGAATCAAGCAGAAGCGCCACGAGAGTCAAACACACGGCCATCCAACAGGCCCACACCAACCCGAAACAAAGCGCACACTCTTAGAATTCTTGCCGTACAGCGATGCCGACGCCGCTACGCACCTCGAGGTGGTTGATGCCCATCCCTGTTTTCGCGTAGTTGCGACACGGGGGGGGGGGGG